CTGTTCTGCACTGGTCAGGTCCTTCAAGCAGTTAAATTACAAAGCCTTGTTTTGATATTTCACACACCACTATTCCATTCTGTTTTCCACTACACAATAGGCAAACCGCAAACAAGATCCCAAACACAAATAAGTCGCATGCTCTGAGACACCAGCATACCACAGAGAGCATCAACCACTGACATGAAACTACAGTTAAGAGATTTATATTACATTTATATTGTTTTCCTTCCTTGCTGTGTTTACACACAGTTATTTCCTCAATACAAGACTTAGTAATTGGCTAATGACAGGTTTCCAATACGCTTCCAATAGGCAAAGGAACTGAATTTGGCTGCATCTTGAGAAAAGGAGAGAAAACTATGCTGAAAAAGCAGAAGCAAACATATCTGCTCAAAATTGTGTCCACTTAAGGCAAAATTTTGGCAGACACATGGCTGCTATCTGCTCGCATACATGTGGAGCACAGGGAAGGTTGAGCTTCCAAAACTAAACCTAGACTCCTCCGCATGAGCCATTTTAATTTTAAATAAGCAGAAAACAGTTAACTGAGAACTGTGTGCACTTGTAGGTGATGAGAAGTGGAAGCCAGCAGTTTCACCTGACAAAGTTGTGTCTGGAGGTGTGAACTGAGAGCAGGACAAATTAAATGATGCAGCAGCTTAGCAAGGAGCACAAGGACATTGACGCTGCTAGGAAAGAAACATAGCAGTGTACAAAAACAACCACGGGACGAAAGAAAGCACCAGAACAACCGAAGAGTTGACCTAACACTTCGGCTGGAAGATGGCAGCAGGGATCACATCCCTTCGGGAGATGGATAAAGGAGTGTCTCGCTCCTCAGTCCTGAACTCTGCACGGGGCAAATCTGCAAGTTCAACTGTCAGTTGAAAGAACAAACATCTTAAAAGCTGGTGACTGAAGCAACCACAGTCACATTCAGACAGCTTGGTACGGGTGGTCTGATATCAAAGACTGTGAGTGTTCTAGGTCCTACCACCTTCAGAGGATTTCCTTGGTGGATGCCTGGTACTTCTGAGAATTAGGCCACTTAAACACAGGGGCCTAAGTGCTGTTTTAAGGAAATAATTCTAGGCATTCTAGTTGGGTAATCTTAACCAAAAGATCCCTTTTCAATGGAGTTTTCCATTTGAGAAGGACCAATTTAAAGTATTTTCCCTTGACTTCAAAAGCTTTTTCAATCGTTTCCTTAGCGGCACAGTGTATTGCAAAGGACAGCAAAGATACTCAGCTGGAAGGCTTCCACTTTGCATAATCTTTTTTCTGCAGCTTTCAAAAACATTTTCCTTTTTAGGAATTTGGTCCATGCTTGCTACTGCCCAAATAAACTCAAAGCAACATAAACAATCTCCAAAATTAAACCTAGCTAAGAAACATCATTTCTGATGTCACTCTGTTGGCAAAGGAGGTGCTGTTCTAATTTTCACCTTCCTCCCGCCTGTCCCGCCCCAAGGTGGATTATATTTGGTCTGTATAACACACCAGAAAACGTATTAGTTGGGTTATCCCACAAGACACCCTATGAATAAGAAACAGCCTGCCTGGAAGTAATCAATACATGACCCAGTGAATTGCTAACCCTTCACTAAAACTGCCTAGAGTAAAAATATGCCAAAATGATTGTCTGCTTCTCTGCAATGTTGGTGCTATTACTGACAGTATTCCATAGAAGGAAATTATTTTCTTTATTCTTTTGCTGATAGTTACAAAGATTCAACTGTGGGTGTGCTTATATGGGCAGATGCATTTGCAGAAGAGATTTACTTTTGCTTTAGCATACTTCCTATTGAACACACTCCAATACGGACAGGTAAATAAAGATACATGCACCACACTTAACACCAGTTTGTCCACCTCTTAACAGAATGTAATATTGCTCCTTAACATTGCCAAATACCATCAGTATCTCCAAAAAAAGTTGCAAAAGCCTTGAGGAAAGCAGCCATGAAACTGATCTTTAGGGGGCATCAACAAAATAAACATACATTAGTTATTCACATTCTTTATGTGTAACCCTGAGAGCGGCTTTATTTCTCAACACCAAACATATGCTTCTCTTGAATAATAAATATAGTGCTATGCTTGTTCAAGTTAATATCAACAATTTGCAAAGCAAAGCCTGCAACTGAGCATCAGAAATAGAATGCTGTGCTGTTAGAGGTTATATTTAATTTCCAAGTGTCCTTTTTGCCAGCAAACAGTTTCCCACAGGGCAATGGCATGTGTTTGTGTGGACATAAGGAACTTTTTAGTTTTCCCAATGAGCTTCCAGTTGGCTCTAACAACAGAACAGCTTCATTTTCTGCCTTCTTTCTCTGTCCTTCTGCTCCATATTTTCTGCGAGACACAGAACAGTGTTAGTGGATTTGTGGTTTTACTTCAGTACACTCAAAAATAAATGATTTATGAGCCTTTAGAAGGGTGTAATTTAAGTGTCCAGTGGTCAGTAGCAATCTCCTGTTAATGTCTATCTCCATCAGAACCATTTCTGATAGTTACATGCCTGTGCATGAAACTGTGCTGTATGACTTTATCTCCCATACACAACAATGGAAAAAGGCTTTCACAAAAACAGGCTGTGTATGTTTACAGCATATCAAGGAAAAATCTCATGAAAAATCCCAACAAAACCTAAATTGTTCCTTATTTTTGAAAAAAAAAAAAAAAAAAAGGCCTTGAAAATGACAGCACTGCAAAGGACATTCAAGCAGCTATTTTGTTTTGTATTGGAAGAGGGAGTACTTTGCACAAACGTCCAGATTCTGGCCAAAACTGTAAAATAACCTAACAGCTTCGGCATGCTGTGGTTAAGACATTACCGTAAGTCTGACTTGGAAGACTAAAATGTTTCTTTTTTAACTAAGGAGGAAAAAAAAAGATTTCAACATTATTTGAATTTAACATTATTCTGGGACTTCTTATTGGTTTTCGAAAGAAGTATCTAAGCCTTTTCTTCACTATGTGTTTTTATGCAGGTCCTGGCTTTGATTTACAGAAAACTACCAACATCCTGACAGACTGTATCTTCTCTCTCCATCAAATATTTTCCATCAATTGTTATGGCATGAAAAATAACTATTGGGAAAATATCATATGGACCACATAAGACTCATTTCCTTCCAGGAATGAGATGCTTAGAGAGGGAAAAAAAAAAAAAATAGAAGAAAAGCAAATGCTGGCTTATGTTGAAAACCGAATGATCAGGAGAAGGTGAGCATTTCTCAGTTTTGTGACTGGTTATGAACTTGAAGCATTGCCTAGGCTAAGGATCACAAGTTCTTCTAGCTGTGCTGCTTTGCTGGGAACAGATGGACAAAGGCTGGAATTGGTGCTCAGTCAGTTTCAAACAAGGGGTCTTTTTACCTCATTCAAAATAATCCAACACTACACTGTCATTATTTAACCTAACATACAACGTAACTGGTTGTAACATTGATCTGGAATATCTGACTCCTTTTTCCTTTGACTTCTACACAAAAGTTTACCCCAATTACTTGAGGCCAACATTTACTTTATAAGGATGCAAGTGTGTAGGTATCATATGCCAGGTTTTGCACTTGAGCTTAATTTTCTCGTTCTCTTGCAGGCACAATGGAGGAAAATGAATGGACCATTAACAAACAGACTGAACGGAGGATGAGGCATGATGTTTCCTGTGTTTTCTCTCCCATTTCTCAGTGAAAAAGGGGCTAAAGGCAATTTGCCACTAAGTGAGCCTTGCTGCTCCATAAAGGTAAGGGCGGGGGGGGGAAGGTAGGTTAGATGTGCAAAAGTGTTCTCATGCTGACCACAGACCTGAGCTGTAGCTGAATTTGCTTTCTACTTTAGATCACTGAAAAAAACCCAAATCAGTCCTTAAAATATGCCACCATACTGATGCCAGCTCTCTGTAGTTTATTTGTTTTCACCTGTTTAAAGTACTCAAATTACTTAAGAGATTTAGCATAGACTACTCACATTGTCAAACCTAATAGTCTATCACACTAATAATGATCACAGAGCAGTTCTTGTCTGTTGATTGATATGGTATTTCCATATCAATGCTATTGTGTTATACTTAGCATGGGACCAAAAATAATTAACACATTGGCCACAGAAAACGCAATACAACCAAGAAACAGAAAATACCAGGTGCTAAACAAATTAGATTAAGTACAGATTAAGTGCATTTGCGAAATATTTGTTATTTTGTTTATGAAAGTGTGTTTTATGTGCTCTACATTAGTTGTATAATGCATGTGCCACATTGCATGCTGTGAAAGGAAAGGATATAGAGTTGATATTAGTGTCCACTTGGCAACTGAAAAATAAATGAAAATGATCCTTTCCATAGCTGAATTTTTAAACAGCTGTGATTTAGCACAAACCTATTTATTCCCAGGAATCCAGAGACGATGCAAAGGCCAGGGGCTTGCTACTCTCTTAACTGATTTGAACAAAAGTAATTTTATTACAGGGTAGAAAAGCCTTGGCAAATTCAATTACTGCTGCAGTTATTTCATTTGCTTTGCAGATTATGGTTGAATTACCAGTGGAAATGAGAACAAATGCAGTGATGTTGCCACTTATTTACTCAAACGTATTAGGGACCAATTCAGCCCAGAGATATTTCCATTCAACTCCGAAAGTCAATGGATACAAGACAATCACCAACACAAAGTGGGAAGACTGGGAGGGCAAATATATGCTTGTGAAAGAGGTCCCGATTCAGTACTATATGGCCTGAAAAAGGCACTCAGAGCATGACTACTATGAGTAACAACTTGGATGGTAACATAAAAGACCACTGAAATTCCACATAAGGCTGTCAAAATCGAAAACATCCCTTAGGATTGTGCTATAGTTTGGAGGCATTAACACTGTGGAGGTGCATTGGGATATTGTAAGTGAGCACCATGTGATTTTGAGGAGTGGAGTAATAGAAATGGGATGAAATTCAACATTACTAAATGCATAAGCATGCACTTGGGGACTAATAACAGTCATAAACTACAGCAACAGAAATGGGATAAAACTTTGTATTACTAATTGAAAGATCACACAATTCAAAGCTATTTTGATATCAACTGGAAGACCTGGAGTTGACAGCTAAGAAAAAGGCAGCCTGGTATACATATCAGGTAATTTAGGATGCCAGCAGGACGGACTATACAAAGGAGAAGTATGCTGTATCATATACTGCCAGTCAAGATAGGAAATATTTTCATTATACATCACTACAATTTCATCTGGAACAAGAGTGTATAGTGCCAGTGACCTGCATTTTGAAAAGTTAAGTGAAAACACACACAAGTGCAGAGAAAAGACACACGGACAAAGAACAGAATGCATTATGAGAATGGAGATTAGAAGAAACGGGCTGGTTAAAGTGTGCAAAGTCAAGGCTCAGAGGATATGACCTCCTTCTGGAAACGCACCAGAACATTGGAGACAGACCGAGACACAAGGCAGGAAAACTCCCACTTGATCTTCAATGAAATATAGTCTAAGAATACACTGGCATAACCTTCCCATAAACTAATGAGAACTGGAAATTAAAGAGGTTGTTAAGCATGGGAAAGCAGTGAGGTTTTGGAAGAGCTGGAGATGGAGAGAACACCTCACTAATGTAAACTGGAACTTACAACGGGATACCCAGCAACTGGGCACTCAAAGATCCAGAAGATCCTTTTCATTCCATGCTCCTGCACTGCAGTGCCTGCTCCCCTGCAGAAATGGCGGCTGGAAGTCAGGTACTGCTGATATTGTAACCTAGTGCTGACCTCAGTTCATGTGTCTGCAGCTCTACATTAGCAACATACACCCCTGACATGTTAGATCTCTTTAAACGTCCCATAACATCCAGCAAGCTTTTCATTCAAGCTAAACAAGGAGCTGAAAGAAATCTCATCTCACTTCACCTTCCTGAAGAGACAACGTTTGGAATTACTGATAGAAAAGTTAATTTCTTTATGGAAGAAAACAGAAAACAGAAAACCTCACACTGTAATTTCATTTTCATAGAGCAATTTACACACAGTGTGCTCTCACTCTTTTGAGATAGAAATGAAATTGAAACATTTTTACTCTTACAGCCCACTAAAGTATATTAAATACTATTAGCAACAAGAGAGGAGGTTTTCCTTTTTTCCTGAAAGTAAAAAGCAGGAAATCAACAAGAAGTTCACATCCGCGTGCTGGTGTCTGCACACCACTGCACAGACTTTGTGCAAACCACCTCTTAGCATTCATAATCCCTGGACAAATGTGATTTATGCTTGTGGCATATGACCGCAAAAGGGCAGGACAACTCATGGTTTGATTCATGCCAGCAGGCACTGTCATATTGCAAACAGCCTCTTCAACTACTGCAAATGCCAAAGTCAACTAACCCAGTCCATGATGATGTCTGGACAAGCTCCACTGTCTCCTCTTTGAATTTTTCAAAGGTAAATATTCTCATATGCAATACTGAGTTACAGTAGGTAAATGTTTTTCTCTGTAGTTCAAAGCAGTATGCCAAGACTTGTTTCCAGAAAACCAGCCTCAAAACAGAATTTATCACAAACACTGAATATTGTCCCCTAACATCACCACTGTGAAGACCTATACACCTAAACTGAAATTACACATTTTCATACATAGGTGCTCGCAACTCAGTATTTAAATATAAAAGCACTAGTTGGTGTTTTCTAGAGGCACAAATGCTTAGTGTCTGCCTTTTAAAATCAGGTCATTCTTACGTTGGTTTATCAGATTGAAAACTTTTGGTCCCAGCTGCTGGAATCCTGCATTACTGACAATTCCTACAGCTCTCTGTACCAATGAAATTGAGAAGGGTTTCACATGGAAAAAGGGGGAGGCCCTGAGTGATATAAGAGCTGATTTCTTGGTATCAAAAGCTTCTCAAGATGAGACTGAATTGGTCACCCCATTGAAATTCAGGCTGGTTTTGTACCAGCAAAGGAACCTGAGCCAGGTTTTCAACTGTCTTGAGGACAGTATGGGTGCACACTGCCTTCAATGAGATAGACACATACCTGCTGGTGGCCAAGCCTTGATATAGCCAGTGCAATGGACAACAGCATACTGTGCTTCGCCTTCTTTTACTGGGCCAAGGCCATTCCTGAATGAAAAAGAAACATAAAAGTATCATGTTGATTGACAAGCAGAATACCTTTATGATTTTAAACTCTGACTACTAATGATTTACTGGTATTTGTAAGTTATGTTAGAAAAAAACAACTGTCAACCTAAAGTTCTGTGCAATGTCAGATCCATTACAATGCTATTCAAGCCATACCTGTTTTCCATATTCCCCTGAGAAAGATACTGAAGCTTATTTCAGAGATGGAGCTGGTTAAGACAAAGAAATTGAGTGACTTGTGTAAAGTTTGCAAAAAGATCCAGTGACTCCACCACAGTTGAATTTAGTGGTGAGTTCTCCTCTCCCAAGGCCCAGTGCTGTTTTACACTGTGGGCTAAAGCAGATGTTTGTCCAGGTAGTACTTGAGTGAGCATCAGCCCAGTGGAAAATGAGAGTGCTTATGGCAACTAACTGTTGCAGTAAATTAAGTAATAGTACCTGTATCTTTTTCTCATGGTAGTTATTCTGTTCAAAGGTAAATGATCCAGAGGAGCATTTCCACACCTAAAAGTAAATTAATATTTGAAAGGGCTCAGAAATGAATATAAATATTCAAGATGAAAATGCATTTTAAGATCTTTATCAACATATATAAGTACACAATAATGGATATTTATTTCCGACAGAAAGTTGCAGATTCATGTTTTCTTAGAACTTGCTGCTTCCACAAGCTGAGCTTTTTGGGTATGCTACAAACATTTTCTTTATTCTATAAAGAAAAATAGAAAAGACTACAAAAAGATTTCCTCCTGCACTCCCCCAACCTAAAGACTATTTGAAATAGATATTCCAAGAGTGGTTAAAGAATAGACAGACTTCAAAATACTACAAAACAAGGGTGAAAGCTAGAAGAATATAAGCCAGGCCCCCAAATATCCACACAAAACAATCTCAGTGTTCCAGTAGCTCCCCTGGACAGAGCATTTCGACTGCCATACACCAGCTACAATGTTAGTAGATACTAATCTAATGTTTGCAAGAACAGACTATTTACACTGTCAAGTAACTTTGTTTAACACTTGTCCGTGTATATTTTGTGATATTTCTAACTATGCCTAACTGCATAATTTTAACAATCCTTTTGAAGCAAATAGTTTGAAGGGTAAAGTCAGTTCATTTTCAATGGAAAAAAGAACAATAACAATGAAAGAAGTAATCACAAGGAAAGTTCACGTTATTTGAGGCTTGTTCTTCCCACAAGGGTTTTTGTGTTTTTTTGGTTGTTTTTTGTTTTTTGTTTTTTTAATTTTTTTTTTACCAGTCACTGCCAAGGAGAAGGAATGAACAATTAAAATAAGATTTAGAATTACCAAAACAAGGGGGCTACTGGCAGGTATAAAATTACTCTCATGCACTGGACTTTACAAAATCAGGATGCTAGGAAATAACTGCAATCTGAATTGTTGTTTTAAAAGCTGGGGAACAACTTTTAAACAGGACATTAAGCCTGGTTTTCTTTGCACAAAAAAAGTCCTCCTCACATGATCACCACATGCAGCTTGGAGGAAGAGAAAGCAATGTTCCTAGTGTCTCTCTGCCAGGCTGTATTTCCTTCCCCCCAGTTAAGGGGGGAAAGGTGTTATAGGTTTGAAGTCTGATCTTGCAGGTATGAAGTATATAAACCCCTTACAAAGGCACCCAAGGGTCATACATTCTGCCTTCTCACATGACTGGAAGAAAACCCAACACATAACTGCAGTACAGGCATCTGTTGTAATGTGTCAAATATTTTGTTTTGCGTGTTTCATTCCATATACAAATTTTGCACCATCTGTTTTCAGCATATATATTGGATATAGGCTGCAGATGTAATTTTGTACTTTCCCCCCCTAACCACACAGACAGAAATTAGCAACAGGCATTTTATCCCATTAGCACTACAACAACAGAAGTGCCCACAAGCCCCAGTCAGAAGCACTGGGCAGGCAAATCTCTCTAAACAAGCCCAAGTAATGCAGGAGAAGTTGGAAAATTGCAAAATAAAAACCCTCTAACAATTACTCATTTATCTAGCATCAACCAGCTGACACCCGGTTAATTCATAGCAGGCTTAGGTTAATTCCTACATAGCTGGCAAGTTTGCAACTGAATTCCTGTTTGTCTTCAAGATTCTTTTAATATTATTGGTTCGCTAAAAAAATACACAGAGTTGGGCTTTCATTACACTTGAGAAAGCTTTGTTCCCGAAGTATTGATTCGGATAAGCTGACTAGAAGAGACAATGGCTTACATTCCAGGGGTGAAGTTGTCATGAAGTTCTCTGGGGAAAGCATCCTACACCCCACACTGATAAAAATAACTGCAACACACAAACGAGGTGCTGTTTTGTCATTAATCACAAAGGAAGATAGGTTTCAGTTTTACTCCAGTTCCAAAAGCAAGCATTCTGGAAATGCTTAATGGGAGCATGTCATTACAGCTTCATTTTTAAGCAAGGTCAAATTAGTGCAACAAAATGTCTGAAGTCTAGTCTGAGACGGGACTGGAACCATCACAGGAATACAAGGTAAATGTGTACCTCATCCTGCAAATGAAAGAACGCCTTGATCCCATGCACATTCTCATGGAAGACTGCTGACCCTCTTTCTTTACTGTTCCAGTCTTCAAGTCCAGGATTCGTCCTAGAAAAGCCAGGGAGAGCAACTCATGTTCAGTACATAAATGTAATTCCATTTACCACAAACTAAGATGACAGTAAGTTCATAAGCTACATGCCATTAGCCCAGTTAGGGGGAAAAAATACCAACAAAAAAATCTTGATCCTGGTCTCACATCGGCTATGTGCTGGCTTAACTAATGATTATAGCAAAGCTGACTCTGAGTCACAACAGTGATGGCTCTTTTCTCAGTTGGCCCAAGACCAACTTCCAAGGCAGGGCCAAATGTCTGGAGGCAGAGAAGACAATGACAGCAAGCATAGCTTTTTGACTTGATCTGCTCACTCCACTCTTTACCAGAACTGTGGGTAAAGCAACATGATGATTCCCCTGATAGC